TTCCCTACAGAAAGAGCCCTCCGTGTAAAAGTACATACAGCATATAAACACAGAACCAAATAAAATGGGAAGAGAAAGAACATTTGGAATATAATAAACAACCACTGTCAATGGTGGGATGAAGTCTGGGAAGCATCAATACCAAGTTCTGTCCACAAAGCAACTGCCACTGATGGAAACGCACTTGGCGGTCACTGCTGAAGAGAGCTGCAGAAACAAAATACCATGGCTACATGGCAGGTCAACAGTGTTGATCTACAGTGTCACAAGAGGAGCAGCATGTGGCACTGACAGTCAAAAATGGACTGGAATGGAAGAACAGCATTGGAAAGTTTAAGTGGCACGTCACTGCACTACAGGAAATTAATATATGCTGGGAGTTCACGGGTGTTTTTAAACACCACACAGGTATTGATGCAGTCCTTGATAAAGGGATTTTAGGCAAATTGCTGACAAATGAAGAGATGAATGAATTTGAGAGAACGTTCACCCTTCCCACACCTTTCAGGTAAAGGCAGACACATGCTTGCTGGTCAACAACAGCCTGCACTGTTGCTACCTCTGCCTTCTGCTGAAGCCATGTGTTTCATTGCTGTGGGAATCTTTCCTCCCCAACATACCAAAATGATCCCAGTCTTCTTGAAGGTTCTGAATCTCCAGCTGGTTCCGTCCCTCCGTAAAGAGAGGTTTGGGGTTTTTCTCAAAGCCTCCCGAGAGGATGCCACCTTGCCAGTTGCGTATGTAGATCCTGCCATCTGGGTCTACAATTGCTGCAGAGGAAAGAAACAAGGTGGAAACGGAACTGAGAGAAGGGATAGCTATGGCAGGCTGCTGTTCCACAAACACCAATGATGGGGTCTGGCAACAGGCTGGGCCAAGCTAAGTGGCCCCCTTGCATGAGGGGGGACAGTCTCAGTCCCCTAACCCTGCACTTTCACACCATTCTGGTTCTCACGTGATGCCTTGGTGAATCAGTTTAGATAACTAAACCAGCATTAACTCCCACCACAACCATGCATGTTAACCTTTTGGGCAGCACAGTAAACTGAATTGAACCTGAAGAACACCCAAGCCAGCAGGACAGTGCTACCAGGAGTGGGAGGACACCAGAGGGAGTCAGATCCCCTGTGGCAACAATAAGCTGTTATACTGACTTAGTTCCACTGGAACTGCGCCCAAGACCAGACCTTCCACCAGGAGATGTCCTGCTTTCCCCCTCTTTCCCTTCTTATATTAAGGACAGTTAATTTTAATGGGAATGCATCACTGATCCAGTTTCCTGCAGGCCACTAACACAAAGAAAGTGGGCAGCACTGGGGACAGGACAAGCAGTCAGGTCTGGACTGCTTCTTCTAGTGGCAGCGTCAACTTGAGGCATACTCCATCTGACAAGTTCCATAACAATTTTACCCACATACAGAGAAGCTGTGAATACACACACACATGTGTGTGTATGTATAAATAACACTTGTTCACATAAAAGTGAAGCACTCGGGGACTCTGGTCAGAGCTGAATTCCCTAATTCCCTGGAGAGTATACACATCACTCACTAGAAGCAGAAAGTCTTGCTGAAGACTGAGAGTAAATAAGCAAAGCTTTCTACTTCCCAACCACATTTTTCAAACACAAGGGCTTTTCTTTAAGAGATCCAAGAGCCAGAACATGGGGGAGGAGCAATTACCTCAAGTGCTTTGGTTGCCCCTACAGCTCATAGACATGTAAATGCCATTGTAAAGCCTTAGCTTCAGTTGGAGGAAAGGAATAGATGGGCCATTTGGGCACAGCAGCCTGAAAGGAAAACATAGTGGCAAGGATAGCACCCTCTCCAGTCCACAAATGCAACAAGCCAAGGTCTCAGACACACCTACTAGTCAAGCTGGAGTCAAGGTCATCCTCCTGCTAAGATGACCGACTCTGAAAATCAATTTCTGCAGCAAAAGCTTTCCCAGGACTAAGGAAAGAGATTCTACCACTGAAAGAGGATAATCAGAGCAATTCAGCTAGAATGTGCTTCACAATCCCAAATGAGCTGAGAACTGATAGCCCTTAGTTGGCCTTTATGTCATAAAGTATGTGCCTTGGAAAGGCAGATATAATTCACCAAGGAAAGTTAGGTAGAGATGAAGAATCCTTACTTGGTAAGTTGCTTGCCAGAGGTTCCTTCAAAGGATGTGTCAGGAGGTAGAAGTGTTCACAGGCATGGAGTGGGATATTGACTGGCTCCTCCCCAGAGTGGCCCAATTCATAGGCCCACTGAAATAAAAACCTGCATGTTAGAATGCCAAAGAAGAAAACTAACTCCAATTAAAAAAACAGGCAGGACAAAAGCACAGGTCCTCTCTGTGGGTTTGCTTTCATAAAAGGCCAAATAAGATTTGGTTTAGTCCCCTAAATCTTTACACAGACACACATTTTTTCTCTTTGCTTAGAATCTGAACTGTTTAGGACAAAGACTTTTTCTGTCCCTCACATAAGATCTAGAAAGGTGGGGCCCTAATTCAAGACTAAGTAGTATCAACTTACAATACAAAAGCAAAATAAGATCTATACACCAAAATCAACACTAGGCTCAGCCTCTAGAAGCAGAACAGTCAGGATTTAGGTGCCTGTACTGCTAAGATCCCAGCTGCAAGCTGAGAAACAGCAATTGTCAGATCTATTTTCATGACATAACACTAAGAAAAACAACAAAAAAAGGAACTTTCAGTGTGTGTGTGAGAGGCAGAGAAGGGTGGAGAGACATTTAACTGTCTCACTAAGAGCCAAAGCAAAATTCTTCCTGTCAGAAGGGTGCACCCCCAGGATAGAGACCGGGGCAGAGCTGTACCGACAAGCTGCAGGGTGCTCTTCAGCAGGTTAACATCCAGTCTTTAGTGCCACGCAAACAGCAAGCACTGCTTTCCTCCTTCACATCCCTGCTGGTCTAAGAAACTGAATAACACTACTTTGACCTACTCCAGTAAACGAAGCCAAAGCACAAACCATTACAAAAAAACCTCTAAACTACAAAAAAACCCCAACCAAATACAAAACAAACAAACAAACAAACAAAACCCTGAGGAAAGTGCACACATTCTTAACTAAAGGAAAAAAGAAAGAAAAATTTTAATAATTCAACCTGGCCAGCACAGTTGACAAAGTACTGGCATTGAATCTGTCCTCTGTCGGTCTCGACTCCAGTCACACGACCCTTCTGGACTGAGACATGACTGACACTCGTCCGTTCGTGAATCTGGACACCTGAAGAGAACATAAGAAAGGCAGTATACCACAAGCCTTCTTTCTAATGTGTCAGGTTGCTAACATCAAACCCTTAAACTCAACCTAAATACTTATTTTCTCTTTAAGACAAAACTTCCATTCTTGACCCCACAATTCTTTCGCGAAACCCTGTTATTTGTAAAAGAGCATGTGTACAATTTGTACATCATTTAAGGGCCGAGACTGTGAAGAGTTACAGTGACAACATGAAAAAAGAATCTCAGCTATGGATTTCTTTCCATTACAATTCTTTTACGCGACGAAGTCTGTAATTTCAGATGGCAAGACTGCTTCTTTATGGGAAATCAGTCATTTTGTGGAAAAAAAAAAATTCAATTAACAGTATGCAAAAAAAGCTGGGCTAAAAGAAACTGAGAGGTATCTTCCTAAGTAGCTTCTTCCAATCTGATGGACTTTCATCCTTAACGAGCTTCATCTCTGTTATCATCTCTAACCTTTCTCCCACTTTTAGACCACTCCAAATTTGTCGAAGTGGTGGGCAAACAGCATTTACTACTATACTTCCAAACCCATTTCCAAAGCATGTGCGCCCAGTGGAATATTCCACAAAGTCTCAGTCACACCTTTTCATTTGTAGGTAATTAAAACTCTTTCGACATGTAATTTTGAGTCAGGCCCTACCGAGGATTGTTTTTATGATAAAAGAGTGTGTGCTTATTCAGAGAAATATATAACCAGTAAGGACAACAAACTGCTGCTTGATCTATCACAGCAGACATGTAAAGATTCAGCATGTTAAAAAAATTCAGCCTGTTTTGGGTTTTTTTTTTTGAGAAAAAACAAATTTTAAAGAATCTGAACCTTACAGAAATAACCAAGTTTTGGTCTTCAGTGCTCAGCTAGAATATCAAAAGAGATGCAGAACATAGTTTTCCTTTATGGAAAGAAGACAACTATCATGCAGGAGAGCACTCTATAGATAAAAAAACCTCATACCATTCCACGAGGCAGCGGTTGCCAGAGCCAGACTCACACTGGCAGATGACACGAGTGCATCTTCTGGCACATACATGGCCCCCACAAGGTCGTGGATGTTGATCAGTGGGTGGAGCTGTGCCACTTGCTTTGGGGTGATAATTTCACAAGGTATCCCCATTACACTGCCACAGAACATAAGAAAAATGCCGTCGTTAATCTTGCAGGAGAGTTGGTGCAAACTTAAGATCAGTTATATTTCCTGCTTATACGTACTTTAGCGATGAAGCAATGCGTTTCAGAGAGATTAGTCGATCCTGAGTCTGAGCCAGTGAAATAGAGCCTGTCTTCACATACCCTAGGACAATGACCAAAGTCAAGTCAGATTTGGACAGGATCTTGAATTCCTTTTAATCTCAGACCCATTGCTTTAATGTAATTGCAGACCTGCTGCTTCCACTATTCAGGAGCCTGGAAATCCCAGATTCCCCAAATAACTTTAAACACTTATCAGCTAGTAATTAAAAACTGTATTAGTCAACTTTTCAAAAAAGCAATTTAATTTTGACTCATGCTCTAACTCTACTACATTTACTCATGTTTATAAAAAAAAATTAAATTGCACACATGGTACCTATTAAAAGAGGTTACTGACAAAAAAGTGATCTAATCACTACTCAGGAGAATAAAACCTCAACAACTAAATGCAGACATTTTGTGACTCCACCACCTGCAAAAGATTAAATACTAATCTTAATTACAGGCATAATTATTAACCTCTGTTACAGTTTGACATATGTCATCACAAGTCCTTGTTAGCGGAAAACTCGCAGTGACCAAGTTCTTCATATCAGGTGCATGCCTGAGTGTTTTGGAGGGAGAGGGAGAATTTCCACACGATGTCTTCTTGCTATTCTCAGGGTGAGACTAGAGTAAGATATCTTCCTTTGCCTATGCTTTAGTGCTTCTGTTAACCTCCTTCTCTTTTTGAGAAGTGAATTGGTGCAGAAAACGGGCCATTTGCTCCAGTCACTGCAATATACTTTTCAGTGTCCTTGGATAAATGTAGGTGAATTTTCACAAGTTACAGGCAATGTCAGAAATTGTCATAGTTTGCAGGCAGTCTGCCTTCAGTTTGCCCCTCTGGTACCCTTCTTCCCATTCTTCTGGTTACATTACTAACATGCCTTTGCGTCTGATTCAGTCCAAACATACCGTTTTTGAACGGGAACCACCAGCTCTCTTAAGAGACTGTAAAATTACATTCATATTTCAGTGTCAATATTTTGATCCAGTTTCCAAATGACTACTCAGTTGAGTAATTTTTTTCTTTCACAAATAGCACCTTTTTTCTTTCACAAACAGCACTTCAGTACCTGTTTTTACTCCAGTCTCTTGTTCCAGCTGCTGATAGAGCTTGTTTGAATAGTCTGCCATCTTCAGCTCTATGGACACATGCCTGGCTGTGCTCACGATGCCAGCACAGAAGCGAGTGGTACCAGCAGCCAACCTGCAGGAGAAGTTGCAAAGAATGCCTCATCCGGCTGACAGGTGAGGTGAGCACCCCCCATCAGGCTGCTCCAGCACCTCTGCTGACAGAACAAACCAGACAGCAACCTCTCCCCCAAACATATCAGACCAAAAGCTGTACGCTGGATGATGCAGGGATAATGCAACCTCTAGAATACTCTTCCTTTAGCTCGCTTTTGAAAACGTGTTGTATTCCAAAAACATTTCTCTTTAACTAGTCCTAAACACAGAAATTTTTCAAAGCAAGCACTTAAAAAAATAATTACTTTATGCTTAAGTCAACCTGCCTACCTGATCCTTTTTCTCCAAAGCAGGATTTCCCTCAAAAGAAAGTTAACTTGGATTTGAGTCTTGAATCTTTGCAGTTTACAGTACGAACAAGTCCCTCTTACTTGTGCAGCAACTTCCATAGATAGGTACACCTATTTATTTTCCTTTTTTAAAACACTGTCCACCTAAATATTTGGTGAAGGGCTGCTGTAGAGACATTAAAAACCTATTAAAAACTCCCTGCAGCACAGACAGGGAAACAATTAGATTTAAGCTATATGAATATAGATTATATACACACACACATATATACATACAGGTTGCTATATCTCTTGCAACCTGCTTCCACAATACTTCTAAGTCATCTTTCCTGCTGCTAAAGCAATCCCGCATTTTTCCGCTTGCCTGTGCAAACCTTTGACAAGACTGCTTTTGGCCTAATGTGTCCATATTCTCTCAGAAATTCAACCTAAGAACCAGCTGAGTGAGGTATTCTTTTAGCTACAGCCCTACTCAATCACAACCAAAACAAGCTGAAGCACGGTCTCACTACGCTGCACTTCACGTAAGACGTTTCTGCTAATGCAGCGTTCTGCTTTTTCCTTGAATGCACACACAGACTGAGCCTGGACAGCATCTAACTCAACGGAGATCTGTAACGGGGTATGCATACCCCCCTCCAGGCTAGTAGAGATTATGTCCCTTTACAAATGAAGTCTAGCAGCTAATTTCATTCAGAAGGTCTCAGATGAGACTACCCAGTTTCCTCTCTTTGCAACTATAAAAAACTTGATAATACCTGCTTCCCAGCCATGCAAAGTCAAGGAAACACAGCTAATTATTCCTGAAAGGAGCATGAGGTGGTATGATGCTAGCTACCATCTGAGCTAGATGGTAAATATTCTCAGTCCAGCCCCTACCTAGGGTGTTAGAAGCCACTGCAATAAACACCTCTTCAAAGGCCCAAAGTCTTAACACTGTCTCATGCCCAAGGTCCCCAAATTGCTTAACAAAAACACCACGAATCCACCTCCGAAACAGAAACCTAAACAACAGGTAAGGGCCGCACAGTCACTTTTCAACAGGATCTATGTACTCCGCCACAGGCTGTGGATCCAACTCCCTGGGAAGCACTCAAAAAACCTGCATTCAGCCAAACCATCATGGCCTTAAGCCTTTTCACACATAGGCCCTAAATCCTGCAACAAACTAGAAAATTCCAGCCTTGAACCAGTTTACAGGATGATGTTTTAGCAATATCTGCTTATAACCTCCATGTCTCCTGCAATCTCATTTGAGCTTTGCTGGTGGTGGAATGCTTTATATACTTGTCATATCCTACTTCTACAGATGGTCAACAGGGGCTGGACGATTTACACAGATTTTTAGTTCTCTTAAAATGGTCCATCTTTGCTAGCTGCATTGTATTTTGCATGATTACCTGCGATTATGCCAAAGCAGATGGGTATCGCCTGAAGGAACTGTAATCCACAGAAAACCCACAAAAGGGCAGAGCTCTCCTGATGGGAACAGCAGCCCGTGGAGGACCCACACTGGAGCCCTGTACTGACCATACCCCCAACATTCACCCCATGCGCTTCCTGGGGCGGAGTCAGGGGCAGGAATCCCCAGAGTGCAAGAATGAAGTTGAGCATGGGAAAGGAAAGGTGGTGTTTCAATGTTTGGTTTTTGTTTCTCACTCCCTGAACCTATTAAAACTGGCATGAAATAAAATAATTCTTTAATTAATGCTTTAAATTAATTTAATTATAAATTATTAATTTAAAAGACCTAATTTTTAATTATTTAAATTAATTCTCCTTAAGGCAAGTCTGTTTTGCCTACATCAGTAACTGGGAAGCAATCTCTATGTCTTTATCTTCATCCATGAGCTTTCTCAGTCTACTTTCTCCCCATCTTGTTGAGGAGGGAAAGCGAGCGGCTGTATGGGAGTTTGGCCCTTAACCAAGGTTAAGCACCACAATCACACAAAGGACACCCTTCACCTTGCAGGTCTGACCTGTGCTTGGGAAGTAGTAAGTGTCATTACTAACATTCAGTATAAGCTTACTGGATGGGTCCAAGCCCAGACGAAGAGGTAGAAACAACACATTACAGCAGATGCTGCTAGGCATGGAAGTCCCATTTCTTTGGTTTTGTTACCAGAAATCCTTACCTGCCCTGCTCAAGTAAGACTATATCCTTCCAACCCATCTTGGAAAGGTGATATGCCACAGAGGTGCCCATTATTCCACCACCACAGATGACAACCTGCACCTGTGCTGGCAAGGAAACTGGGTGAGGTTCTGCTGTACTTGAGGTACTTCGCCATAAGCCGGTCATTCTCCATTTTGGATTAGCCGCCCGCCACCGGACATCTGACAGTAATCGAAGAAACATCGTAGCAGCAATTTGTCAGTTTTCTTAAAGCACCACCTAGATGTGTTCAGATGTTAATTCAGTACCACTCCTTCTAGAAAGGAAAAGACAAGAATCACGTTACCACTTATGATACACAAGGTTGGCAGCAGCAAACATCACATGGTGCATTGGGTGTAAGTGAACATGGGCAAGCTGATGAGTAAACAAATAGAGCAGTTACTCCATCCTGAGACAACAACCTTGCTATTAAGATTTAAACTTAGATCATATAATGGGTACAGAGCTTTACACCTTCGTTTTTGATGGCAGCGTAACCTGACAATGAGCAAAGAACCGGACGAAACCTGGAAAAGAATGGCGAGAACGCTCTCCCACTAACAACAGGAAGATCAGAGAAAGGCAGCAGGCACAGAACATGCTCTGCAATCTTTCATAAAGGCTCAAGTTAATAGGGCGCAACTAGGCTTGATTATTAACGTTGTCAGGCCTTTACCTGAGAACGGAAACAAAGTCTCTGATGAGAGTAACTGGAACGAGGAACTAGAGGCATGCTCTCCCATAACGTTACTTTTACTACAAGGACCTCTGGCTGTGGTAACACAGCTGGAATTTAAGACTACACCTGCCCTAAGCAGGTTATCACCGTAGGCTTGTGGCTGCTCTCATCTGCAGCCTGCTATGGATCCATATTGAGAAGGCGGCCTGGCACCCGATGGGCCGC